ATCTAGTACATAGCTGTATAGAGTGCATTGATGTAGTATTTCTGCACCCAGCGACAGCGCTGTCGTGCACCACTATTTAGTTCACCCCTTCACCTCAGCTCTGTTGACTAAGGCGATAAAAAAAAGCCCGAGACATATATCATGGCTGAACATTTGTTATCAGCTTGTTTGGTTTTACGTGTTGCTATTTCTTGTGTTGACACCTAACACTACAACTCCAGTGATCGAACTTCATCGTCGTCAAAACTAGACGTAAAAATCGTTGCATATATATTGATATATATATAATAAAATAATAATATATTATATATATACTATATATATATATATGTGTGTGTGTGTGTGTGTGTGTGTGTGTGTGTGTGTGTGTGTTGTGTGGGTGTGTGTGTGTTGTGTTTTTTTTTTATTTTTTTTTTTTTTTTTTTTCTTTTTTTTTTTTTTTTTTCTTTTTTTTTTTTTTTCCTTTTGTTTCTTTATTTTTTTTTTTTCTTTTTCTTTTTTTTTTTTTTTTTTTTCTCTTTTTTTTTTTTTTTTTCTTGTGGTGTGTGTGTGTGTGTGCTGGTGTGTGTGTGTTGTGTGTGTGTGTGTTGTGTGTGTAGTGTGTGGGTGTTGTTGTGTGTGCTGCGTCGCGCGGGTGCTGTGCGGGTTGCGTGCCATGCGTGTATGTGTTTCAAGCACGTACAACGCGTCAGTGTACATGTACATATCATGAGGCGTATTAGTATGATTAAATAGGCTCTGCTGTAACATATGCATATATACACTGACAACGCTGTACATTTACACTGAGCGGCCTTGCGGTAGAGCGGTTGGGTGATGCTCGGCGACATGGGAATGAGCAGCTTCTTATTGAACTTGGTGTGCACCATCGGCGACCCAGTCGCCAGATGACTCGCACATTGCATCTCACGCACCAGCATGGATCGAGTCCACGCGTGGCGGTCTTACGCAGCGCTTGCCACTGCAAAGATAGCAAGCATAGTATTAATATAGGGTAGACTCTGCTATATAGGCGTTCTACATATTTCTATGGTAGCAAGCGAGAAATCTGACTTCACAACGACGAGCAGCGATTGATACCAGCCATGCTAGTTATACAAATCTATCGATGGACGGGCAATCACACACGCGACGCACAAACGCACACCACCGCACGCATAACACACACACGCACGTCACGCACAACACGCAGAGAGAGAGAGAATATATCGGTAATTTCAAGGTAGATTCTACGTCGGTGGTGTAAAATGAGATGCTAGCGAGCAAAACTAGTTGCGCACCTTTAACTAGCGATGTACTACCGCCTGAAAATTCCCAAAATATATTTATGCGTAACGATATTGGCATTAAATATTAAATTATAAATAATAAATAATTAATAATTAAAATTTAAAAAATAATAATTAAATATTAAATTAAATTAAATTAAATTTTTAAATTATTAAAATTTTTAATTTTTAATTTTATTAAATTTATAGGCATTAAATATCAATGAAGATTTGATGTTGCACGAATCAGTCATTTTAAATCTTGAAACATGGTTGGACTATGTACCAGCTTCCGTGTGCTGTGTGTGCCATTTGGCTGGAATAATATTATATAACAGCTCCTGTTTAAATGTCAGTCATACGCTTGGAGCTGACGGTTGCATATCATAGGCAAAACAAATTACAATATGATCAAACTCGTGTGTCAACACCTACCACAATTTATTGTTCCATGTTAGTTGATATACAACCACACGACAGGATGACAACGACCAACAGCAACAGCAACAATAACAACAATAACAACAATAACAATAACAACAACAGCAACACGTTATAAATAATAAAGTTGAGACATCGGAAAAAAATTCGCGATAAGAAAAAAACACCAACGCTTCTATTAGATCTGCTTTCTACTAAAACTAACTTTCTTTTTTGTTTACGTCTTCGCAAACAGCCACTATTCGCTCGGCTGCATAAACTAATGCAGCGAGTACCGATTGCAGACTAATGGACCTTCCGGAGATGCAAAAACGAAATTGCACTATTACTAGTCATTCGAGCGCTGCTTTACATTCATGATTTATAAATCCATGCGCCTGACAGCGCACAGGAAGTGAGGGGACACGGGGGGGGGAATTAAATACATGTCCGTTTGTATCATCATGCAGACTGTCGAATTCTCTCATATAACTTGTGTTAGCTCTTTTTGCAGCCACAAACAGCAGCAGCAGCCCAGCAAGCAACCAACAACAACAACAACATCAACAAAAACAACAACAACAAAACCAACAACAACAACACCAACAGCAGCAGCAACAGTAATAATAATAAAATAATAATAAGAATAAAAATAAAATAATATAAGAAGAATAGTAGTAGTAGTAGTAGTAGTAGTAGTAGTAGTAGTAGTAGTAGTAGTAGTAGCAGTAGCAGTTAGTAGTAGTAGTAGTAAGTAGCAGTTATGCAAGTAAGGCAAGGTAGCAGCTAGCAGTAGGCAGTAGCAGTAGCAGTAAGTAGCAAGTAGCAGCTAAGCCAGTCAGCAGTAGCGAGTGCAGCTAGCAGATAGCAGTAGCCAGCTCAGCAGTAAGACATGTAGCCAGATAGAGTAGCAGTACGGCCAGTAGCAGTAGCAGTCAGCAGTAGCAGTAGCAGTAGCAGTAGCAAGATAGCAGTAGCAGTAGCAGTGCAGTAGCAGCTAGCAGAGTAAAGCAGCTAGCAGTAGCAGTAGCAGTAGCAGTAGCAGACTAGCAGCTACATAGCTAAGTAGGCGTAGCAGATAGCAGTAGCAGTAGCAGTAGCCAGTAGCAAGTAGCAGTAGCAGCTAGCAGTAGCAGTAGCCAGTAGACAGTAGACCAGTAGCAGTAGCAGTAAAGCAGTTAGAGTAGCAGTAGCAGTAGCAGTAGCCAGGTAGCAGTAAGCAGTAGCAGTAGCGATTAGCAGTAAGCGAGTAGCCTCAGTAGCCAGTAGCAGTAAGCAGTAGCAGTAGCAGTAGCAGTTAGCAGTAGCATGTAGCAGTAGCAGTAGCAGTAGCAGTAAAAAGCGCCAGTAGCCAGGCGGGTTTAGCAGTAGCCAGTACGCATCAGCACGTAGCAGTAGCAGTGTAGCCAGTAGCAGTAGCAGTAGCAGTAGCAGTAGGCAGTAGCAGTAGCAGTCAGCAGTAGCAGTCAGCAGTAGGCCACGTAGCGCAGTAGCAGTAGCAGTAGCCAGTAGCAGTAGCAGTAGCAGTCAGCAGTAGAGTAGCAGATAGCCAGTAGCCAGTAGCAGTAGCAAGTAGTGAAGAGTAGTAGTAGTAGGTAGTAGCGAGTAGCAAGTAGTAGTAGTAGTAGGTATAGTAGAGTTAGTAGTCAGTCAGTAGTAGTAGTTAGTATGTAGTAGTAGTAGCTAGTAGTAGTAGTAGTAAGTTAGTAGTTAGTAGTAGGGGATAGTAGAGTAGTCGTTCGTCGTCATCGTCATCGTCGCCGTAGCAGCAGCAGCAGCAGCACCAGGTCAGTTCAGTCAGCAGCAGCACGCAGCAGCAGCAGCAGCCAGTAGTCAGTCAGTAGCAGCGAGCAGCCAGTCAGCTTAGCAGTGAGCAGCAGTAGCAGCAGCAGCAGCAGCAGCAGCAGTAGTAAATCAGCCAGCAGCATCGCGCGCCAAATAGGATTCTATTCTTATAAATCTGATTTAGACGACTCGAATATGCTAAACACATTCCTCCCCTCTTTCACCCACACACACTACCCCCCCCCCCACCACCACACCCAGCAAACACACAGTCACACACACACCGATTATCATATAGGTCACGTACGCACGCACGCACACACGTACGCACGCACGCGCGCACGACCGCGCCAGTGCTTAAATAATATGCGTAGTCGCTGTAGGAAGCTATGTCGAGTAACTGTGTGCACGACGTATAAATCAACCATAAATCCGCGCGAACACGATTTCCCCATTCTATCTACAAACAGCAGCGAGCTGCTACTGTGAGGCACGCAAACACCGCGCGCGGTTTATATGTGTTAGTTATCAACAGCCGCCCGCAGACTTGATAGAACCGAGTTTTATTTTATGTGTCCCGGCTGAAAAATAGATCTAGAGACACTTCGAATTCATCGCGTGTGCAGCTCGACAGACATCGCACGCAGTGCAGTGTGTGCTCTGAGTGAAATTAAAGGCGCGTGTGTGAGGCTATGAATCTATGCTGTCTTATGCTGTCTGTAATCTGAATGCCGTAGTCTCTCTGTGCAGATAATCCCGGTAACTAACAATACACAGTGTGTTGTATGTTTAGGCATTTGACAATACACTGTGTATTGTTAGCGAGCTTTCAACAATATACTGTGTATTTTTGAACACCTTCTAACAATACACTGTGTATTGTAGTAGGTACCTATGAGCTTTCAACAATACACTGTGTATTGTTGAACACCTTCTAACAATACACTGTGTATTGTAGTAGGTACCTATGAGCTTTCAACAATACACTGTTTATTGTTGAACACCTTATAACAATACAATTTTCTTTTTTTTCCCTTTTTTAATTAGTTTACTTTTTGATTTGTAAACTTGAAATTGACATTTATTTAAATGAATTTATTGAAATTATTTGATTGATTTTATTGAATTTATTGAAAATGAAATTGAATTTAAATACACAGTTGTTAGGTACCTATTACAATACAAAGTGTATTGTTAGAAGGCGTTCAACAATACACACTGTATTGTTGAAAGTGTATTGTTAGTTACCAGGATTATCTGCTCTGTAAGGCTGTCTTGATGCGTGCGAGTATAACCGTTGTAACCGTTCTTCTTCGAAGTATTCCAAACACAACATTGTTACATCTAATCTGCTTCGAAAGACCCCACCCCGCCTTTCTCTTTTGCCCCTCCCGTAGAGCGATGTGATGAATTCTCTCCCCTATTCTTTCGCAATCCTCTACCCTCCCTCAATCCTCTTCAGCAGCTATGTGATAGCAGCAGCTGCATGAGTGGGAGGCTGTGTTTATCGCAGCGCTGCACACCTACCTGCGCAGATGCTTCTGGAACTTTGTCGTGTTGGAGAAGATGTTTTTGAGACTCTTGCGCATGTTCGTCTTCCGTCTGCTACTCGGCGATATGCTCGACTCTGATAAAGGTCAAACACACCATCGATGTTGTTAAAGTGATTACGTCACCGTAGATATAGTAAATGTACAAAAATTCTGTCCATCTTTTTCACGAAATGTAAGTGATTCTGTTAATTTTGTTATGGTTAAATTGCCGATCGATTCCGTTCGATGTGAACAAACACTCGTGACTCATACGAAGCCCATAGCAAACATTTAATGTCGTGATAAACACATGAAATCGCCCAGGTTTTTTGTGTGAATTTTTAACTAGTTGAGAAACAATCTTATCAGGTAAGAATTTGAGGATAAATTTAGTCCCGTTAGTACTGCAACAAAATTGCAACAAAATTTTTACAAATATACACTATAGAAAATTCGTGACGTAGTCAATTTAATGATCATGATGCGTTGGCACCACGAGAAAACCAAGCCGTATCCCCGGGGTGGTGAGCGGTGTAAACTGTATATAGTCTGGCAGCCAGCGGAAAGCAGTCCTAGTGGTAGCGGGGAAAGGGTCTACCTACTAATTCATACAGTGTTATATAAACTTGTATATAACCGTTGCAAAACTATTATTGCTATACGCTTATAGGACGGCTACAATTTCTGTGCTTAGTTCGCGTATTTCTACGTCAATCCCGCCATTTTAGTACCAACTGTTGCGTCTTACAGAGGTTCGCAGTTGGCAAACTACAGTCTGGCGCGTAATTAGCAGATAGCGTCACCTACCTTTGAATTGCCTCTCGGTGTGGTGCGTCTCTCGGTAAGTATGCAGCTGCGACAGCAAGTCATCTAGGGTGTCCAGCTTTTCGGCAAGTCTAGACGGCCGATGGTCAACATCTCTCCAGCCTGCGCGAGAAAATTCGCTTTAATACACGCCGGCACGCGAAGACTATAATAACGAGATTAAAAATAAACAGTAGACCAGCTACTCGAAACGTTTACGAAACGATTATTCTAAATCACGATTCTAACAAAATTTTACTTAATAACTACCGGCTATTACCCATATAATTACCCATCTAGGACAAGGAAATTACTTCCGGCAATCTCACTCATGAGCCTCGACCAGTTTTCGTAGGTCTAGGACTAGTACCACTGGCAAGATTCGTTGCCAAATATCATTAACTGCAATCTACTATTTACAATTATTTTAAAACTATCCATTGTATGATTGTTTTACAAGTTAATATAAAAGTACGCTAGCAAGCACTAGCGCACAAGCAATTTATAAATAAGCAACAGTGTAGAGAATTAATACTACGTCAGTAATACGGTGCATAAACCTCAGTAACGTCTTAAGTGTAACGTATATGTGTACGTTTGCGGCGAGTCAATAATATACTCACTGGAAGGCTCGGCGAACGGGGGATTGGTGGACTGGGGCTTGCTCAGTCCCTTCATGTTGCCGGCCTGTACTCGCACGAAGTACTTGTCACCTGTGGGATACATCTCATGCTAGTTAACAACCCAGTCGGTTTAGCCAACGCGCTGCGAGGATACGAGAGGTGCCGTGTCGAAAGAGAAGGCTTCAATGCGCTCCCCTCCCCACCCTCCCTTCCTCCGCCCGCCCGTTCCACCCTCCACCCGCCCGTTCTTCTCCTCAATCTCTTCGACTATCCTTACCTCATATACGTCCCCTACTCTCTCATCTCATTCCGTCCATCCCTCTCTTCATTCCATCGCCCCCCCCCCACCCACCTGCACTCCACTTTCCCTGCACACCCTCTCCCCTCGCGTCCGCAATCCCCCTCTCCCCTTACCCGCATTGCCCCCAAACCTTGCCCGGCTCCCGCAAGCCAGCCACCCTAACCCTAACCCTATCACAGCGTCGCAGCCTCGCGTAGCTGCTGCGCGTGCAGCCGACCGACCGCCTGCTTTCATGCGCGCTCGTGTGTGTGTATGTGTGTGCGTGCGTGCGTGCGTGTGTGTGTGTGCGTGCGTGTGCGTGTGTGCGCGTGTGCGTGTGCGTGTGTGCGTGCGTGCGTGTGCGCGCGTGCGTGCGTGTGTGTGTGTGCGCGTGTGCGTGTGCGTGTGTGCGTGCGTGCGTGTGCGCGCGTGCGTGCGTGTGTGTGTGTGCGCGTGTGCGTGTGCGTGTGTGCGTGCGTGCGTGTGCGCGCGTGCGTGCGTGTGTGTGTGTGCGCGTGTGCG